TGACGTTAAAGAACGCCAGATGGCGCTGCAATTTGTAAAACATTCCGAGTTTAATCGGCTTGTTCCGCCGTGTTTTTTGAAGTTGTATACAAAATACATGTACTAATGTTAGGCAGATGTTGGATTACACAATATACTGTATTTATGAAAAGGCCCTTAAGCGGTGACAAAACTTAAACGCAACATGTTTATACACAATGTGTTCATAATAAATTATAAATACATTTATGTATGTGTGACGTCAGACGGTGAGTGCACGAGGAATGACGTTTTTACATTGTGCACCTCGGCATGCAGTTATCATATACACGGCGGAACAACCCGATTAAACTCGGAATGTTTTACAAATTGCAGCGCCATCTGGCGTTCTTTATTGTCAACGTCCTTTCGCGCTCACTGACGTTCTTTATTGAAAACGTCCTTTCGTGCTCACTGACGTTCTTTCGTACACATAGTTCTTTCATTTCTTATAACGTCTTTTCGTAACATTTGACTATTAATATTGCGTACTTTTGACATTTATTTCAACTTTGTATGATTGTTTTGTATTTTGACCTTTAGTAGTAACATTTAGTTCTTTATTCGTAATATTTGACCTTAATTGCATACTTTTGTCCTTTTTTTCAACTTTGTATTTTTTGACCGAATGGCCGCCCATATCAAACTGATAGGACTCAGCAAGAGGTAGCTAAGATGTACAATGTGTCTCAGTCTGTGATGTGCAGACTTTGGAACAGGTTGTTAACCAAATGTGAGTGATCGCCCCGCACAGGCTTTTAGAAAGAAATCGAGTCCAGACAGCCAGTCAAATAGCTGTTCAATTGCGCTAGGTTGCTGGAGTTCAAGTAACTGACCACACCAACGCGTCGCATTTCGGCGACCACGTGTTCTACCATCGTTAATAGGTACATTCCACTAAGATCCCAATGATGTTTAGGTCGCAGAAACTGGGCGAATCGCCGATAATGTTGTGTAATGTTTTCAGATGAGTCCAGATTCTCTAGCGAACGTCATGCGAACGACAACATAAGTCAACATGATAGATTTGAGGGTGGGCTGTAATGACAAATGGCGGATCACTAGAACTAACAGAACGCCAGTGCACACTGTCTAGGGAAAGGTCACTTGGACAGTGCATATTGTCTATGGAAGGGTCACTGGACAGTGCATATTGTCTATGGAAGGGTCACTGGACAGTGCATATTGTCCAGGGAAGGGTCACTTGGTCAGTGCATATTGTCGAGGGAAAGGTCACTTGGACAGTGCATACTGTCTTGGGAAAGGTCACTTTGACAGTGCATATTGTCTAGGGAAAGGTCACTTTTACAGTGCATACTGTCTAGGGAAGGGTCACTGGACAGTGCATACTGTCAAGGGAAGGGTCACTGGACAGTGCATATTGTCTATGGAAGGGTCACTGGACAGTGCATACTGTCTAGGGAAAGGTCACTTGTACAGTGCATATTGTCTAGGGAAAGGTCACTTGGACAGTGCATATTGTCTAGGGAAGGGTCACTGGACAGTACATATTGTCTATTGATGGGTCACTGGACAGTGCATATTGTCTAGGAAAGGGTCACTTGGACAGTACATATTGTCTATGGAAGGGTCACTGGACAGTGCATATCGTCAAGGGAAAGGTCACTGGACAGTGCATACTGTCTAGGGAAAGGTCACTTGGACAGTGCATATTGTCTAGGGAAGGGTCACTGGGCAGTGCATATTGTCTATGGAAGGGTCACTGGACAGTGCATATTGTCTATTGAAGGGTCACTGGACAGTGCATATTGTCTAGGAAAGGGTCACTTGGACAGTGCATATTGTCTAGGTAAGGGTCACTGGACAGTACATATTGTCTATTGAAGGGTCACTGGAGTGCATATTGTCTAGGAAAGGGTAACTTGGACAGTACATATTGTCTATGGAAGGGTCACTGGACAGTGCATATTGTCTATGGAAGGGTCACTGGACAGTGCATATTGTCTAGGGAAGGGTCACTGGACAGTGCATATTGTCTAGGGAAGGGTCACTGGACAGTGCATATTGTCTAGGGAAGGGTCACTGGTCAGTGCATATTGTCTAGGGAAGGGTCACTGGTCAGTGCATATTGTCTAGGGAAGGGTCACTGGTCAGTGCATATTGTCTAGGGAAGGGTCACTGGTCAGTGCATATTGTCTAGGGAAGGGTCACTGGACAGTGCATATTGTCTAGGGAAGGGTCACTGGACAGTGCATATTGTCCAGGGAAAGGTCACTGGACAGTGCATATTGTCTAGGGAAGGGTCACTGGTCAGTGCATATTGTCTAGGGAAGGGTCACTGGTCAGTGCATATTGTCTATAGAAGGATCACTCGACAGTACATATTGTCTAGGGAAGGGTCACTGGTCAGTGCATATTGTCTAAGGAAGGGTCACTGGACAGTGCATATTGTCTAGGAAAGGGTCACTTGGACAGTGCATATTGTCTAGGTAAGGGTCACTGGACAGTACATATTGTCTATTGAAGGGTCACTGGAGTGCATATTGTCTAGGAAAGGGTAACTTGGACAGTACATATTGTCTATGGAAGGGTCACTGGACAGTGCATATTGTCTATGGAAGGGTCACTGGACAGTGCATATTGTCTAGGGAAGGGTCACTGGACAGTGCATATTGTCTAGGGAAGGGTCACTGGACAGTGCATATTGTCTAGGGAAGGGTCACTGGTCAGTGCATATTGTCTAGGGAAGGGTCACTGGTCAGTGCATATTGTCTAGGGAAGGGTCACTGGTCAGTGCATATTGTCTAGGGAAGGGTCACTGGTCAGTGCATATTGTCTAGGGAAGGGTCACTGGACAGTGCATATTGTCTAGGGAAGGGTCACTGGACAGTGCATATTGTCCAGGGAAAGGTCACTGGACAGTGCATATTGTCTAGGGAAGGGTCACTGGTCAGTGCATATTGTCTAGGGAAGGGTCACTGGTCAGTGCATATTGTCTATAGAAGGATCACTCGACAGTACATATTGTCTAGGGAAGGGTCACTGGTCAGTGCATATTGTCTAAGGAAGGGTCACTGGCTTGTACTACCGAGACAACAAATTGGCGCCAATAGTCGTGCAGTTGGAGCCCCATGTTGGTGCACGTTCTGTCTTTCAATACAATAACTAGCGGCTCCATGTTAGAACTACTCAGACAACTAGTGGCTCCATGATAGAGATACAAGACAACTCATGGCTCCATGTTAGAACCTAACAGACAACTGGTGGCTCCATGTTAGAACCTAACAGACAACTAGTGGCTCATTGATAGAACTACTCAGACAACTGGTGGCTCCATGATAGAGATACAAGACAACTAGTGGCTCCATGATAGAGATACAAGACAACTGGTGGCTCCATGATAGAGATACAAGACAACTGGTGGCTCCATGTTAGAACCTAACATACAACTGGTGGCTCCATAGTAGAGATACAAGACAACTGGTGGCTCCATGTTAGAACCTAACAGACAACTGGTGGCTCCATGTAAGAACTACTCAGACAACTGGTGTCTCCATGTTAGAACCTAACAGACAACTGGTGGCTCCATGTTAGAACTACTCAGACAACTAGTGGCTCCATGATAGAGATACAAGACAACTGGTGGCTCCATGTTAGAACCTAACATACAACTGGTGGCTCCATGTAAGAACTACTCAGACAACTGGTGGCTCCATGTTAGAACCTAACAGACAACTGGTGGCTCCATGTTAGAACTACTCAGACAACTAGTGGCTCCATGATAGAGATACAAGACAACTTGTGGCTCCATGTTAGAGGTGGTGAAATTGGGTATAACGTCGCGTCTAAGATTATTGCACTTATATAGCAACGTGCATGCACGTGTGTGTGTGTGTATGTATGTGTGGCTGCTTGTACTACTAGACTTATGCCGATCTATAGTGCTAGCTCACAGAGATACCACGCTGCACTTTACAGACACAGTATACTGACCCCGAGCCGAAAAGTCCTTGTTTTAGCCCCTTAATGCCGAACGCCAGACAGCGTAACAAAAAGTACTATCTTATAACGTCTTTTGGTATGATGGAGCCGGGATTGAACACCGGACCTTCCGCCAGTAGCTAATTCAAATACAGATTGTCAAAGCAAAACTGAATCATAATGACTTGAAGTTGGTTCGGCCCGTTGATTATCCTGTTAAATATGCTTAACTATGCTGCTGTGTGGACATGTATCCTCCCTCACCATAGTGTGGAAGCTGAATGGCACAGAGCGTCCCAGATGCAGCTGTAAACGACCCATAGACACAGATACGTGTGAATCTATTCAGCAGAAATGCACTTTAAAACTATTTTGTCCACTGATGAGAAAACAATGGACCTGTTTAGTGCGTTCAATACCTGTGTTTAAGGAGTCCAGTAGTTGGTATTTGGCTAGAGTTCTCTACACACACTGAATCAACACTAAGCCTCAAGTAGACGCTCTGAAGACAGGTGGTGTCAGCACAGCACTGCCCGATATCCACACTGGTCACAGTCAAAATCACCTGGGCGACTGTAGTATATTGCCAAGAGACATACACTCTGGTGAAAGTATCGCTGTAGTATGTCCCACTGTAGTATGTTGCCAAGGGAAATTCACTCTGGTCTAAATATCTCCTGGCCCAGTGTAGTATCTTGCCAACAGACATTCACTCTGGTGAGAGTATTGCCTGTCCCACTTTAGTATATTGCCAAGGGATATTCACTCTGGTGTAAGTATCGCCTGGCCCACTGTAGTATATTGCCAAGACACATTCACTCTGGTGTAAGTATCGCCTGGCCCACTGTAGTATATTGCCAAGAGACATTCACTCTGGTGAAAGTATCGCCTGTCCCACTGTAGTATATTGCCAAGGGACATTCACTCGGGTGAAAGTTAGTATTGCCTGGCCTGGTATGCTACATTTTGTCAATAGACATTCACTCCCAAAGTCAGTATCAAATAAGGGAGCTTCAGCACCAATCATATATGACAACATGTTTTAGCAGTTTCAATTTTTTATTCAAATCTGTACAGTAGACTTTCTGCAAAGATGACAATATAAGTTAGTGTTTACATGCAACATAGTCCACTCTGATACTGCAGCAGCCAGCGGACCAACTCACTGAACTCAGGCAGTCTGTGGTGGCAGGAACTAAAGAGGAAGACAACTTACACTACATGCATGGATACTCAGCAGTGAAACATGGACACATACATGTACTACATGCGTATGTATAGGGAAAGTATAGATTAGCAGTCACTCATGTGAGGCCGTGATGTAGGAAGTGAGGAAGAGGGGGTGACAGAATACCGGGGGAGCCACCACTTATCCTGGGAACCTAATCAGACTCCCCCATCCCCATGGGACTCAGGACAGGTGGTTGTTGCCGGTGAGAACGCTGAGTGATGGATACAACTGGAGAGTGGGGGAACAGGGGGGACTCAGGACACATGATTGTTGCCGGTGAGAACGCTGAGTGATGGATACAACTGGAGAGTGGGGGAAGAGGGGGGACTCAGGACAGGTGGTTGTTGCTGGTGAGAACGCTGAGTGAAGGATACAACTGGAGAGTGGGGGAAGAGGGGGGACTCAGGACAGGTGGTTGTTCCCGGTGATAAATGCTGAGTGATGGATACAACTGGAGAGTGGGGGAAGAGGGGGGGACTCATGACAGGTGGTTGTTGCTGGAGAAAACGCTGGGTGATGGATGAGAGTGGAGAGTGGAGGGGGTGGGAGTGGATCCACAGTGGATGGTTGTTGGATGCAGGTGAGAGTGGTGTGGGAACAGTTGTCTAAGATTGTAGAATTGCAGTACTAGCCAGGAGATCAATACCTGCCACTTGAGTCAAAAGGTGATTGAAACTGAGGGAGAATGTGGTAGTAACTGGCAACAAAGGTTTAAACTGGAGGCATTTGCCTTGGGCCCACACCCACATTGTATAGAGAAAATATTAGTGGTCTGTCTACTCTAGAACACAAATCACACTAAAAGCCATGTGAAACATGGGTTGGAGTGGCCCTTCTTTCAACATGAACAAGAGAACCCGTAGCATCAACATAAGATTTCAACTAAAATATAACCCACTACAATATCTAACCAAATAAACACAACATACAGCATAATTACATTTTTACAACCATCATCCACAGCTCCTCACCAAATTGCCATAAATCATCAGAACCATCCTCTAGTTGCACCGTTCCTTCCAGGGAAATCTCAGTGTACAGGAACAGTGGTCAGATGAGATGTGTTTCTCCCATCATGCATTGTTCCTGCCAAGGAGATCTCAGTGTATATACCGGAACAGTGGTCGGATGAGATATGTTTCTCCCATCATGCATTGTTCCTGCCAAGGAGATCTCAGTGTATATACAGGAACAGTGGTCGGATGAGATGTGTTTCTCCCATCATGCATTGTTCCTGCCAAGGAGATCTCAGTGTATATACAGGAACAGTCGTCGGATGAGGTGTGTTTCTCCCATCATGCATTGTTCCTGCCAAGGAGATCTCTGTGTACAGGAAGAGTGGTCCAATGAGGTATGTTTCTCCCATCATGCACTGTTGCTTCCTGGGAGCTCCTGATGACCTGTGGCAAGTTGGGGAACAGAGTCGTGCTTGCGTCATGACATCTATCTTGGCACATGTAGCATGTAATTCAATATGGAACGGTATGGACAGATTCAATGGGAAATGTGCATTATCACTGAGACAATGAAGTGAACTGCATCACACTGAAGTGAAAATTCCAACTAACACACAAACATACTTGTCAAATAACAAAGAGAAAATTGCATATATTAATATCCTCATTGTTGAACATATTTAGGATTATACTTCTTTTTGGGACCTTAAAATAACCTTGAAGTTACATTTAAAATATATAACATAAATGATTTCCTATGATTTTTCCAATATCATTCAGCAAGGCAATATTGATGAATAATACCACACACTGTATAACTGGATTTCAGGCCAAGGATATCAAAATATGCATGATGTTTGCTAGGAAGGCTGACCGGAGATTGCAGGGTATTGCTTATGAATGTAGGTACAACATACAGGGACTCCAATTGGCTGGGAATAGCTGACACAGGAGACATGGTCCTCCCTAATTATTAATGTTTTCTCCATCATGTTTATTTATCCAAATATTGCTATTTTCTGAATGGTATGCATAATCCTCTATAATGAAGATGTTACTGATGTATTTTTATTGCTAGATTGTTGATCAACACAACAAACACAGCTTACAGATATTCCCTGAACACTGATCATTGTGAGCAAGCCTGAAGTTCCCCAAAAGGATTTCACCATGCTGTAGTTGAGACCTGGGAGTGGTTGCCTGGACACCTGGGGCACATAAACACAACGTCCTGCCCAAGAAGAAGTGTAGTATCTCGACCAATGGCTTGTCATATTACTTTGGTAGTGTGTTCATATGAACATATGGAAATGGTAAGTCTTAAACATGGACAAAGTGGCACAACATCAAAATGTCTTTGAAAGAGAACTACAACCCAGAGAAATTATGTATTAATGGCTCAGGCATCCCATGTTTGTCCGGCTATGTTACAAGTTATGCTATATACCAGCAGCTAAACACTTCACAATTGTCTCAAGAGACAATCTGGTTGAGGATTAAATAACAGTAAACAAATTACTACTGTTTTGTCACCAATATACTTAAATATACGTAAAACCAGAAGAAAGACAAACAAGGGATGTGGGGAACTATTATTCTACTTATAGAGTTTACTGGAGTGTCCCCATTATATCAGCATTGGAACAATGCAATGTAGCCAATGTATTGAACAATGTCTGCACCCCATGCAAAACAGAATGCTGCACACATGACATGATTTTGTTTGTTTGTTTGCTTGTTGTTTAATGCCACACTCAGCAATATTCCAGCTATATAGGTAGATAAATAATCAAGTCTTGACCAGACAATCTAGTGATTGATCACATCAGCATCTATCTTGGCAATTAGGATACGATGACATGCAGTGAGCCTGACCATCCGATCCCATTAGTCACCTCTTACAGCAAGCATGGGTTGCTGAGACCCAATTCTAACCTGGATCCCCATGACATGAAGTATTATAAAATGTCACATTGAGATCACATTGCAGCCATACAACACCAAATTGTTATGTTCACATGACAGCAGGATTCAAAGCACAATAAGAGCAGCAGCAATTTCATATCAGCAAAAAAAAGAAAACTGGTATATTGCTTGCCATTCCTTTGATTACAATCCAAGGATTCAACTGGGAAATGTGTTACCCGACATCACTGTAGTGCAGGTCATCTGTTGATAGAAGCTAGAAGTAGTACTACAGGCAAGCATCTAGAAATTCATTATGCCATGAAGAAATCTTTAACACAGACAAGCCAAAGCTTCTTTTTTCAATAATAAAGTTCATGGAACTTCACTTTTAGTGGAAATGTTGCTGCCAATTTTTTTCTAAATACCATAGCTCACATATTTGTCTCTATTTTACTTTCCATCACTGCATAAAAAGCCAGGCAGATACTGCCTTAGTTGTGTGACTCCAGGTTGGAGACTGGCATGTGTGTATGCTGCCCTTCCCCTCCATGCTGCCCAGTGGAAAGTGGATCAAGTCCCCAAGCTGATCAATAACTCTTGCTCTTCAGTAATTCAAATACATGTCACCACAAGATATGGCTGCTAAGTTTTACTTTCACTTAATATTATTCATTCATCTGTAAAATACCATTTAACAACCATCACAGGCAATGTGTGTACACTGACTGATTCAGATAGACACCATCAGCAGTTTTCCTTAACAATCGTCATAAAATATGCGTAAAATTGTACTAAAATAACAACATACTGAAACCCAGGCCAATGATAAACAAAAATATTCTAGTTGATAGGTTATCAGGCCTAGGTTCAAATTATATTATAATGCCACACTCTTCCCAGTAGGCAGTGAAGGCTGAACAGCAGAAGGACGTGACGCAGCAGCAGCAGCAGCAGGAGGAGCTGGCGCCACCGCCCCACAACATCATGAACTAGGAAGTCCATCTTGTGTATGGACTTGTTTGTACCTCACAGCCATGGAGTCCTAGTACATGGTAGCAGCAGATGACTGTTGATTTGCCAGGAAGCAACATTAAGCAGAGTGTTTGGGACAAATGCTTAGTGGGGGCCTGGCTTCAGAGATCTGGATCTCCATCAGGATCCCGTCAGCTGGGGGGGAGGAGGGGGAGCTGCCCTCGAATGTCATGCAACCTCGGCCATTGGATCAAGTCCTATTTGGTGAGATGTATCAGCTTTAGCCCGGTATGTTGACTGGTGTGGACCAGCTTTCTGAGGTACGTTCTGTATTTACAGCAGGGATACAGGAACCAAGGTTTTTTAAGGTAATACTGCTCTACACAAGATGGCCCGCCCAGCCATATCTGCGAGTCGTCCGGGTGTCCATGGAAGGAGGGGAGTCGAGGGACGATGCTGTGCTGACTTATGTACAATGATAATATCCGTAGTGTGGGGCACTGGCCACCAGGCGATGCCACCTCACTGTGTGCTCGGCATCTTCAGCTGCCATGTGACCAGGTCACATGACTTGTAGCACAAACACGCACAGTTCATTCATTCACGATGTGAAAAGACAGGTCACCATGTTATAATGTCCGTGCCTTCTGCAATAATTCATCTACGAATTTCTGAAATAAAAGAAATGTACAAAGATTATAGTGCAGACTATGAACACACAATCATTAACCAAGATCAGAACAATTCCTTTAATCCTGGCTTAAATACTAGTTATTACATGTACTCTTAGTTCTTCAGCTGAAAGAGTTTTTCACAGTGAAATAGGTCACACTCAAGTTGATTTCACACTCAAGTTTTACATTTTAAGAGTGAAAAATTAAAAATACTCACAAAAACATCTGCCTCTGGCTTTTTGGCATCTGTTAATTCTGACTGAAAACAGAAAAATTAAAAACTGTCACTCTCAAGTTAGCTTAACATGTTGAACACTACAGTGAGTGAGTGAGTGAGTTGGGTTTTAACGCCGCTTTTAACAGTATTCCAGTTATATCGCGGCGTGTCAGCTTAATGTGGGAGGAAAGCCCGAAGTGATGCAGGTCTCAGACGTTTACCAATTCGGTGAAACCCACAAGCACGGGTATGGTGCTGACAAACCTAGAAACATAATTGGGGCGAACCGGGATTCAAACCCATAATCATAAGTTTCTGGCGTGCCCAAGGGATGCAACTCTGCACAGCGAATAGCGGCGCCTTAGACGACTGGGCCACCCGTGCCCCCTGAACACTACAGAAACTAGCAACATAATTATATGTCACAGACTGGGATAACATCTGTTATTTTGAACTCACAAAAATTATTTAGATGTGTAGGGTTTGTACTTACATAAAAAATCACATATGCTTGGACAATATGTGTCCAGCTGAATTTTAATAAACATGGATACCGAGAATCATGCATACTGGAGAATTAAGTAACAAACATGAACAAGTGCATATTCCATTGTAAGAGAAGTTTGTATGACGGTGGTCGTTGTAAATAATCAGCTCTGGACCAGACAATCCAGTGATTGACATCATGAGCATCCATATACACAATTGGGATGAGATGACATGCATCAGTCTGACCACCCGATCCCATTAGTTGCCTCTAACGACAAGCATAGTCGCCTTTCACAGCAAGCATGGTTTGCTGAAGACCTATTCTACCCCAGATCTTCACGGGTCGTAATACAAGGAAAAGGACCCTGCAGTCAATATTCTAACTAGATACAAGAGATTGAGTGGAGTTACATTGACATAGTGGGCTTATGTACCGTATATGACCGCGGATAAGCCGACCCCGTAGATAAGCCGAGGTGTTAATTTGACCATTGAAATACGAAAGAAAATGATATGACCCGCAGATAAGCCGAATCAGGAATTGAAAGACAAAAAACACTGCGAAGTCGGACTGCAAGACATGTGCCGGTACTCGCAGATATTCAAAAATATAAGATGAAAAACGTTGTAATTATATTGAAAAAGTCATTATTATTTCTAATAAAGATTTAACAAACCAGTCATCCACTTTCATAATGTGGGAAGCTGTTTCTCGTGGGTTTTTTTAATCTCATAATGATCGTTATATGTTGCCATCAACAACCACGCGCCATTTTGTGAATCGGTGTATATAGAATTATGAACCCGTGAGAAAATATATCAGCTCGAGCGAAGATTCGCAGTTTGAATTCAGCATCGTAAGCATGGCGTTTTCGTTTAAAACTCATGATGAAAATGTCAGTTTGAAAAAATATACCAACTTTTATAACCCCCTTTACACCACTATTTTATGTTAATCCAATTGAATTAAATAAACTATCATACTATGAACACATTGAATGACCATCACTTACTCACAGGCTTCTCCAGTTAAACTAATCTCTCGAAAACAAAGGAATTAAGCCCCTACTCCCAACACGATCGCTAAGCACCCACAACTTGAAAATGTTTGTGTAAACAACATGACAATACCAATCGGCCCGTTATTATCAATGCTCATTTCCTTGTGTACCATGTTGCTTTAAACAACAGGAAGCAATCACAGTGGTCACCGTTCGTGACGTCACAGGAAACAGCTGATCACATGTTTTTGCAAATGGCGAACGGAATAACTCGCCGATACAGTTGTTTATTTGCCTCTTTCAATAAAGGTAGACACTTGTTCATTATCAATTTATGAACTTTGCAAAAAGTACGTAATAGCTATTGGCGATTTTATCTGGGGATTATATATTATAGCTGTGAATTACATATATTGTTACATGTAAAGATTGTGGAGTTTACGAAGAACGATAAACTTTGAACATTCAATTGAAAACTTATTATCGGAAGGAGTAACATGCATAACATTTTTTTAATAATGACAACATTGGTGTATAATAATAACTTTATTGATAATTTATAAGAATAATGGCTCTAGTCGTGACAACTTCCAAACTTTCGGGAAGTTGTAATCTATCGGACCGTCATTCAGCCGATGTTTCTGACAGATCACGATCTGAAAAATACTATCATGAAAGTGTATCCCGTGGATAAGCCGACCCCTTTCTACAGAATCTTTTTTCTGGTCCTCAAAATTCGGCTTATACGCGGTCATATACGGTAGCTAAACTCCTGAGAGTGTGGGAAGGGTTAATATCGTCATAGTGGGTTTACGCAGCTAAACTCAGGAGGGAATGAGAAGGGTTAATGTGGCAGTGGTGTAGCCAACACAACAGTGGGTTTATGTAGGGTAGCTCATACTCTGCCATGGAGACTCTCCAGAGTAACTGCTCCTGCCACTGAAAGTGAGCCACAGGATGGCATAAAGTATTTCAGGTCAGTCATATCCAATACGGAGAGCTGTATTGTGATACATATTACAATACGTATTGGTGCCCAAACTATATATATTTGTACTGTTTAAATGGTAATTCTTCATTCAATAATCCAGACCTCAGATTGCACGATGGGTAGTATGGATAACTAGATTACTTCCATAACTGAGTGTTCATATAAACAGCATGAGGTGTGTGCTGTTTACATGGTTTAGATGGGACCCAGTCCATCCAAATGCCTCAGAATAGCAGACGTAATTTATATAATTATAAGGAAGAGAATTAAGGGATTTCAACTTCTTTATTATGAGGAACAAAAGGCTTCGGAGTATATACTTACTCCTTCATCAGGTGACTGAATACCATGAGGCAGAGAGCATATATATATGTACATGTAAGGACAACAAAATTAATAACATAACAAAGGGTGGAAACTAACAAGGAAAGCCAACAACAGATGATTGGTGCTGATAGGTTATTAGCAATAAACAAAGGAAGCCAATAGTAATAAGGGCTGTAAGTACATGTAGTATGGAAGCCAATAGTAATAAGCGCTGTAAGTACATGTAGTATGGAAGCCAACAGTAATTAGCGCTGATAGTACATGTAGTAGGAAGCAAACAGTAATTAGCGCTGATAGTACATGTAGTAGGAAGCAAACAGTAATTAGCGCTGATAGTACATGTAGTAGGAAGCCAACAGTAATTAGCGCTGATAGTACATGTAGTAGGAAGCCAACAGTAATTAGCGCTGATAGTACATGTAGTAGGAAGCCAACAGTAATTAGCGCTGATAGTACATGTAGTAGGATGCCAACAGTAATTAGCGCTGATAGTACATGTAGTAGGAAGCCAACAGTAATTAGCGCTGATAGTACATGTAGTAGGAAGCCAACAGTAATTAGCGCTGATAGTACATGTAGTAGGAAGCCAACAGTAATTAGCGCTGATAGTACATGTAGTAGGAAGCCAACAGTAATTAGCGCTGATAGTACATGTAGTAGGAAGCCAACAGTAATTAGCGCTGATAGTACATGTAGTAGGAAGCCAACAGTAATTAGCGCTGATAGTACATGTAGTAGGAAGCCAACAGTAATTAGCGCTGATAGTACATGTAGTAGGAAGCCAACAGTAATTAGCGCTCATAGTACATGTAGTAGGAAGCCAATAGTAATTAGCGCTGATAGTACATGTAGTAGGAAGCCAACAGTAATTAGCGCTGATAGTACATGTAGTAGGAAGCCAACAGTAATTAGCGCTGATAGTACATGTAGTATGGAAGCCAACAGTAATTAGCACTGATAGTACATGTAGTAGGAAGCCAACAGTAATTAGCGCTGATAGTACATGTAGTAGGAAGCCAACAGTAATAAGTAGGGCTGAAACGATATCCCGGGACACCGATGCATCGCAATTCACTCCATACGATACGGTGTGCGATTTGTGAGGTGCTGTATCTCGATTTTTCACGATATGTTTTTTTCAAAGTCGTATATACGTACGTCTTTGTTTTTGTACATAAACTTCTATCACAGATACGTTTTAAATGTGTTTAAACTCTTTCAACACCGTAGGAACCGAGTCCCCAGGCACCGGCCAAGCCTTAGTCACGTCAAAATTGTATATATATTTATGGACCTACCTGTCATACCATTCATTTATTAAATCTATCACATCTCACAATGTCTGAAATACGAATTCTATTTCAATTTATCATTATTTATCGATAGATTAAAAAGTTATTCACTATTTCCCGCAATGTTATTGAAAATATAATTCTCGGACGCACACTTCGACAACAGGTGCACATCGAACATGTCAAAGAGCAAACCAAAGACGTTTCAAGCAAATCTTTAAATATATTATACAAAGTGATAAATAAAATCAACAAAAATATATCTAAAAGTGATCAAACTTACAGCTAAAATATTATTTCCATCTTTTCGTGCGATCGCGTGTAATGTTAGTCAAATGACATCTCGGCTTTCGTCGCCTCGAATTCTCGGCTCGGACACGATGTTCAATGCCAAAATATATGCATGAAAAATCTTTGTCACAGCTTGTAACCTAGTATGATACATCCACGAAGCTCCATATTTTTAATATAGATCACGATTTCCTGCTTAAAACGTCCAGAATAACACGATTTAACCAAAATATTTCGTAAAAATCTGAAATTCATCGTACACGAGGATTTGTAATTTGATTGCCTGCCTCAGGTCACGAGCTCAAATTTGACCAATCATGAACCTTGTAGCAGACTTTGGCAAGAAAGCGTCATTAGGAACCATTTTTTATCCAATGAAATCTTATGTTATACCTGCGAAAAGACTCCAGGCAATGTTACGAGCGTGTAGATGAAACAACAAGCTTTCTAACAATGTGTCATATGTCAGTCTTCGACGAACGTGTTATTCATACGAAGCTTTCGAAAACGGAGGTATTTCTTCATGTTATTTAGCAGACAGCCGCTGTTATCTGGAAATGGGTGAAATCAGATACTATTCATTATTCTTTTTAAAATAATTTTCCAATTACGTAAATAAAAATAGAAAAGAAATAAGTAGATCTAGATCTT